CTCCAAGCCTGAACCAGTTGGAGACAGACTTCTTGTATAAGATGCCAGAAGTTCAAAGAGCGGAAAGGAGAAATGTCCACCTAATACAGAACAGATGACATGGTATGAGCTAGAACTGCCTGAGCCATAGACGTTTCCTCTTGTGAATGAAAAAATAAATGTGTGTTTCTGTGTTAGATATATATATATTAAAAATATACATCTATAAAATATAAAATATAGATTATATCTATAAAATGCACATACATATACAACAATTATATACAAATAAATAACATTTTTAAATATATATATATGTAGATAGATAGATACATATATGTAGGTATAAGCGTGGATTAATTCACCAGGACTGGGCTAAAATGGCAAAAGAAATGTCTGAAAAATATTGTTTGTGGGAAAATTCAGGCTTTTTAGTTTCTTCCTCAGTGTTCCTTGGCTGTCCATTTGAGGAATCAGGAATCTTTTACCTGCCCAGACTGCTTGGTTTTGTTTCCTGTGGCATCTCTCCAGGCACACTTGGGATTTGGAGTCAGGTTAACCTTAGAATATTCTCTCTCGTGCTTTTTGCCAGGCAGGCTGATGAGAATTATACAGCCAAGGAGCTTGTTTTTAAAAAAAAAATTAAAAAGAGGAAAAAAAAAGTGTACAGCACAATCAGGACCTTCTGGGGAAATTTTTACATTAAAAATGCATTCTTTTAAAAGTAGGTTTTTTATAAGGGAATCGTTCTAATAGAAAAGTCTTGAACAGTTCTGGAGTGCAGTCACCCTAGTGATATAAATGCACTTTATAAGATCAACAGCTATTAAAATTCAAGTATGCCAGTAAGGTAGAAAGACTTTGATTACATACTACAAACACCTTTGCCTTTTGTCTAATTTTAACAGATCACATAGCTGGCATTTTAGAACCACCATGTGACTCTTAACATTATAGGAAAGTGACAGTCTGATGTAATATGATCCTTTTGAACTTTCTAAAGACTGTTAATAAAAAGTAAATGATATTCAGGGTGACACTGCATGGGTTACTTTTTGAAGAAGGGGATTAAAATATTTTCAGCTTGATTCATACTCTGTATCCAGGTTTATAGGAGCTCCATCCTTCGGCTTTACGTGGTATACACACTTTCAAGGAGCTGCTTCTTTCTTGATAAACCATGCTATTTGTATAGCAGCAAGACAGATTTTCTGGCAGTTTAGTCCAGTGTTGAGCAGTCACTTGTCTTCCCTCTTCATCTTTTTTGTTCTTATTGGCCCATTTCAGTTGAATATTTCCCTTCACTTTCAGTGGGAGGGCATTTAAGGACCTCTAGTATTGTAGCTTATGTTGACATCCTAGGTTCCCCTACATCTTTTAGGACCACTTCTTAAACCCTTTTAACGTGCCTGCAACTGCATGCCCTCGATCAGTTCCCCGTCTTGGTGGAACATGGTGCATAGCTCCCCAACGCGACTGACTGTGCTGCACAGCCACGTGGCGTAGCGCAGAGTCCAGGTTCCTGCGACCAGCATAGCTGTAGTACAGCTGCGGTGCTCCCCATCAGCACCTCAGGGTCAGTACAATCTCTAACATCTCTGTACCTTCCTTCCCCAGCTACTTCTGTGCTGAACTGCCCTTCTGGGCAGCCTCAGGATGTTTATTCCATTTTCTCACAGCATTTAACCAAGGGACCAGCAACAGAAATTACCCACTGACACTGTTTCATATCGGCTGTGTTGACTAGTGTTTCCCTGGTTTGCGAGAGAAAATACTGGGGCTTGATTTCCACCTGGAAGCCAATTTGCAGAGTCCAGATGATTTCTAAGGATTTGGGATCAGATGCATGTATGCCATCTTACCTGGTTTGAACAGGATTTGCTTAACCAGGAGCATCTGCCTTCTCTTCCCCTATGTGTTAGGTGGAAGAGGAGAGCTAAGCACGATGCCTGGTCCTGGCCCAGGTCCAGTGCTGTGATTGCCCCCAGCACTGCAATGCCGGGCTGTAGCTCCGGGAGCGGTGGCGTTTCCTGCAGGCTCTGCAGTCAGGGTTGGTCTCCTCTGTAGTTTGCATGTCCCCTTCCTGCCAATGCGCTGTGCAGGCGACTGCTGTGGCTCCTCTGAGGAGTTGAAGCTGTGACCACGTCAGGGAAGACTGCTGGTAGAAGAGTTATGTCAATGGAAAGGGTCTTGGGAGCTGACAGCTGAGAACCAGAGGCTTTCAAAATCCCCCTTTCCAGCCCTCTGACAAATAAATCCTTCCTTGTCCCAAATGCTGTAGCATTAAACTTGTACTGTCTGGTTTGTTAATACACATTTGCTGCTTTATTGCAGGCACATATTTATTATACCTTTGTGTGGATCTGTAAGCATAAAAAATAACTGTTTTAAGCAAAAAAGGTTTATTTTCCTGACTGCCAGATGTTACCCACAGGCAATTATCAGGTAGGACAGAGGGCAGCAGGTAAATATTTGCTTATACATTTAGAAGAGTGGCTAGACAAGTCTAGTCTGCAACTGTGTTGCAGTTCACATCTGTAATAGCAGGGCCAGCAGTTGGGAAACAGGCATCCGTGCAAAGCTTTAATGGGTCCAGCACATCCAGTGCTAATTGAGAAGGAAAACCCAGAGTCATTAGGAACTTGATGCACCTGGTTTATGAGCTGTTAAAGTTCTCTTTTTCCCTTTCATTTGTCACATTACTTCGGAGAATAAATTTACTCGGTCACAGTGGAAACGATGCTTTACTGATGTTGACATGTCCATCAATGCCTTTCAAGCCTGTCTGGAAATTTTGAAAGCGGTCTATAGGCTGACGTTTCATGAATTTGCTAGTGGATGGCGTCCCAAGTAACAGACATAGAAGGAAAGCATTCTAGCAAGCATTTCCAGATAGGTGCTTCATGTATTTATTGCTATTAAAAAGAAAAAGAAAAAAAAAAAAGGTGTTGTCTGTCTGTGGGCTAGCTTATCAACAGCTCAGCAACATCACTGAGATTAAGTTATTTGATCTTTCCAGTTACTCAAACTGTGTTGTTTGAGGTAGAAAAGCTACGATACGCTATGGCAATACATCCTATTCACTCTGTTTTTCCAGCTCACTGTCTTTGTTGACTGTACTGTGTATCATTTTACCTTTTACAGTAAAAATACACTAAGGTTTTATTTGACATACCATTTTTCTCACAAACTTCTTAGTTTAGGCAATACAGATAAGCAGCTAACCATTTCTATATTCCTTCATTCTAAACATGTTGACAAAAACACGAGTAGAAGACCTCGTCAAAAGATGGGCTATTATGCCAGGCACAAATTTAGCAATTTCAGCAAAACAACCTATGTCACATTTGTATCATAAGTCCAGACATTATTAAGAAAGATAGCTGTAAGTGAAATATAATTCAATATACTAATGACTAGATAGATAAAAATATATAAACTGTAATTATTATGATACTATTATAATTTATTATAATTCCCACAGAAGTTATGGTCATATAAAAAAGCACTTTGTCAGCATTACTGTGAAGATATATGTCAGAGAATTGAATGCTGCTTTTATATATTGAATAATTCTTTTTTGCCCTCTTAAGACTGAAGTACTCTCCTTTTTTTTATATTCATCATGTGCGCATGTACCATTTGTAATTGGCAGGCACAGAGGCAATGCTGAACCCTTTATTGGGGTTTAATTTGGTAAAGTAACAATAATGACGCATCCCATTCAAGTCTCAAGTTGCCCCTTGGTTTGTGCCTTCCCCTTGCCCCTCTTCAGGACTGCTGTGCCAGTATGGGAAGACCTTTCTCCCTTGAGGGCTTCTCCCATCTGCTCTACACTCAGGCTATCTGCTTCAGTGGACTAGCAGAAATTGCTTAACACTTTTCTGGTAGACTCAATACCACCAGGTGTTTCTTTTAAGTGCTGCCAGTCTATAAAGCCGGGACTAGAGCACTGTGGTTTCTGCTGCTACTCAGAAGGATTGCTGGAAGATGCAGAACTGTAAGAGACAAAAGCAATCTGTGACTATCAGAGTTTCTGCTTACTCAGTTCTCCACCACTTCCTTAATAATACAAGGAAATTGATGCCGTGATTGCACCTGGCTTAGGCACCTGTCTATATCCTTAGGCTGTGTGGATCCCAAAGGATGCACCTGTTTACAGTAACTGAAATTACCTGGCAGGAGGCCTTACCTTGGCCGTACATTTGACATCTCCCCTATGCAAATGTCTAAAAGAATAGAGGCATAAATTTGCTGTTTAGTAATGACACATTGTTGGGTGTCAAAAGGAACGTACAGATTTTAGCCCTGTAGCACAGCACATCTGTTGCAGAAATACTACTCAGATGCCTTAATAGACAGAGGTGCATTTTCCTATGGAATTTAACAGTGAGTCTAAGCACATGTCAGGGCTTTCCTAATGAAGCCTCTGATTCATTGCCTGGGTAATGCATCACATACATCACTTGTGCTGCTGTAACGGTAATGAAAATTATGATGGGATGCTTCTTCCATATAGCTCTACTGTCAGGAAGGCCACCTTTCTTTAGTGGGAATTTTTCTGAGTCCACATTGGATCTGGTATACCAAATTAGTTCCTAACAGCCAGACTGTGAACGCAGTCAGGTTGCTGGAGAAACTAGTAGCTGTATATTTGTGCTTAGTACTTTTTGTGGATGAAAAGAAAAAAGGCACAAAGTAAGTTTTGAGGTGCACTCTGTGTGAATCGAGCTAGACTTCAGTAATTCAGTCACTGGAAATTTGTCCACATTGTCTATTCCTGAGATAATTTCTAGCAAATGAGACAAGTTATAACAATATCCATTACTTCATAATCTGTGCATTGCATCTCTCATAAAAATCTGCATGTTTGCATTATTTCATATTTTTGCCAGTTAATTTGTGTTTTCTATCCATGTTCAATTTGCATTCATTAACTCACAGTTTGCTGGTAAGTGTGTTCTTTCTATACATGTTCAAAGAAATTCTTTAATTCAATTTCTCTGTTTCTTCTCATACAGTCTCACAGCCAGATATGCAACTCAGTCTAATCACAGTGGAATTGCAACCAGTCAAAAAAAGACTTCTAGGTCAGTTAAATATCTCTAATTTATTGCTTGTTAGTGATACTCAAGCAAGTATATGCCCATTGATATTTTATCCTTTGGACATAAGCAGACATTAAACAATGTGTATTTATGTTATGCGTGCAAGCTTTGCAACTATGAGCTTTGCCACGGGAAAGCCTTGTATGGACTGGAAGGAGCTGATTCGTACTGTATATTAGTAATATTTCTGGTTGTTATGTATCCTGCATCTTTGTATCCTGCATGTAAAATATTGGATGTGAAGGATTAGTTGGTGATTTTAGTGCTCTCTACTCTGGATCAAATCCTTACTTTAGTCATGAGTGAAAAGAAGTGTGGGAGTCCATCCCAATTCCCACTAGCTGTTTTGCATGTATCGCAAACCCACCTGAGAAGTTGAGTTCACAGAGCCAAGTTCACGCAGAAGCAAAATAGAGCAGAAAAAAAGAACCACTTCCAAGACTTCTGCTCTGTCAAGAGTAGCCTGCACACAGTCCCCACTAATGAGATGCTTTGTTTTGGTAGTGAATTTGACAGAGCTGTGTGTAGGAGCTGACCTGTTTCAGATTTCATCAGTACTTTTACTTTATCACTTCCATGAGCACTAAAATCTACAAGCCAGATTGCAGAAGAAAGAAACAGAGGTCTAAAGCTTAATCTTGTTTCTAGCTCTTTTTTTGTGGGGGATAATTAATGTGTTCATTAATTATACCTTTGCTGTCCAGTTCATTGGTGAGAACAATGAACTCTAAATTGCATAATCTACAATAAAGATTGCATTTTGCAGTATAGCGCACTAACACAATTTGAGTTGCTGGTGATAGCTTGGAATGAGTTATACCACGGTCCAGTTGCTTTGCACCTGCATTTATAGGTCTTCAGTTTTCCTTATTGCTGATGCTCCTGTCTTGTCCGCATTCAACATGTCGGGGTTAACAGTCTTATTGTCTAATACTTTAAATCTGTGGCAGTGTTTCCGAAGCCTGTTCAGAGGTATGTGACTTGTCCCTTATTTGTTATTCTCCTCTTTGCATTTCCTTAGCTGCTTAACATGATTCTGCAAGAGCAATTTAAAACCTGAATTCAATTAAAAAAGACAGCAAATGAGGTAAACTGGAAAGTGTCTAGAGCAAATGACCTCATGTATAATATGCTTACTGTGGCAAGTTCTCGAATTCTGGCATGCAGAATATATGCAGAAGTATTTGATATTTTAACAGAACAGATGAGTTTCCAGTGCTGGACATGCCTTCTCATTGCTTTTTTCATTACCTTTGACAAACGATCTCAGGGCTCTTACTGCCTGTCAAATTAGGGTAATGAGAAGGAGCAAATGGATTTTTAAGTTTGTTTTAGTGCATTCTTCAGGGAACAGAAGATCACTCGAATTCATGGGTCACAGTAAAGGTTAGCATGCGTACAGCTGCAGAGCAGAGACAGTCTGCTCTGGGCTCGGCACAGAGACTAGGAGGGCAGGCTGGCGGCCAGAATGAGCCATAAAAATAACTAATGGATTAGCTCTCTGAGGCTTAAATTGGTAAAGGAAGAGAACATGGAGCTGTTTACATATGTTCGCTAATGAAAATAAAATGATTTGAACATTTATGTTATACCAGTATATTAAACAAAAAAAAGTTTGGAAGAAATCTAACGTTTTGTAATTCTTTGTGACGTGATTTTTTTCTCCCTTCTGATGCTGCTCTTTCGAATATAGTGAAACTAACAGAATTCGATAACTCTGGTATAATTTGTATTGCCACTATTAAAATCATCATATCATTCCAATAAGTGAGAAACAGAAGAGAGAGATTCTTCTCCTATGGCAAATGCCCCTTGTTGATTTGAGCATTTCATTTTGCCTATCAGATAACAAAACTGGAAAGGAGCGGGGGTGCCCACAAAGATGCTGCAGAAAGTTTGAAGTAAGCATGTATTAAAGAATCTTACACCAGAGAACAGATTCAGATGGAAAAAAGATGCAGGCTTACACACGCCAGGGGCAACAGAGTCTACATTTTTTTTCCTTAGCATAGCCACACAGTAAGGTTCAGATGGTGGCAGCAAATACTAACAAATGAACTGTATAGTCTACATTATATACTTATATCTAAAAGGTATACATGCATCTGTAGCATCTAGCTAAAATATGTATTCTCAATATTTTTCATTTAAAATAATAAGGTGGAAGTACTTTAGCCAACAGCCTGCTGAAAAATAACCAAAGAAGATAACTAAAAAGCCAGGTTTTATGCTAAATGCAGCGGTGAAACATTTACTAGAGTAAGAGATACGAAATATTTCTCACCTGTTGTGAAATTGTTGTGCTTTCTAATCAATTTCTGTAACATTTCCTCTTCAAAAGTGACAGATGTAAATAAAAGTTGATACTGCACTTTAATGGTTTGTTAGGGTGAATCTGTTTTAGCAATGTTAATGGCAAATGCAAAGCATCTTCTTACATGTCTTGTGATTCTAGAAAGCGTCTTTTTCCCTTTTGTGTGCCTAAGGATAAGCTTTTATTTTCATTTGTGGAGTCTAACTAATTTGAATCCTCCTGTTCATTGTTGCTTATGTGAAATCATCGTTTTCAGTCGTTGGTTTTAAATTCTCGTCTGATATTTGCATACTGCCTCCTCTATATGTTGCGTTACGTAAAATGAACTGATTTCTGATTATACCATTCCAGGCTTCCAGGACCCTCAAGGGTGCCAGCTGCAGGCAGCAGTACCAAAGTCCAGGGAGCTTCTAATTTAAATCGGAGAAGCCAGAGCTTTAACAGCATTGACAAAAACAAGCCTCCACAATATGCAAACGGAAATGAAAAAGGTAAGTGATTAAAAGTTACTAAGCTAACTCTACATAACATACAAGAGAAAAAAAAATCACCAGAAGAACCCATCCACAAGGGTCAAAGAAGTGAATGTAATATTTAGACTTGGTAAGGAAGACCTATGGAGATAGGGCTCTGAAATAGGACTTGTGGTTGAGTTGGGATTAAAGTTGGGAACTGAAAACTTTCAAGATGTTATAATTATAATTTATCCCTCTTTGATGTAAGTATCACTGGGTGATTTTTCTGAAGCAAAAATGAATCCATATTGGATGCCTATAATCTTGGTCCATATTCAAGTCTACTCATGCCCAAAGGAAGACTGCCATAATTTTCAGGGAACTTTGCATCTTAGCCTCTAATGGGGAAGAATCAGAATATTATATTTGCATCAGAATATTACATGCGTCATTTCCTTCAGAACCTTACCTAGTGTATGTGTAAGTCTGAGTAGAGGATTGGAAATTAAGTCAACTGTAATGAAATTTTACAGGGATTTGAATTCAGTGTTCATGTTTTATTGCCTCCTTATTTTCAGGGAACTTTGCATCTTAGCCTCTAATGGGGAAGAATCAGAATATTATATTTGCATCAGAATATTACATGCGTCATTTCCTTCAGAACCTTACCTAGTGTATGTGTAAGTCTGAGTAGAGGATTGGAAATTAAGTCAACTGTAATGAAATTTTACAGGGATTTGAATTCAGTGTTCATGTTTTATTGCCTCCTTTAAATAGGAACTTCTGTTATGGAAATGAACTGAGTTCCCTGGGTCCTTCTGTTTCTCCCACCCTGACACTGTTTCCCTGGAAAATGTGTCTCTTCAAGCTTTATCTCAGAAAGAATAATGTAAAAATTCAGCTTTCTGAGTTGTGTAACTAATCCAGCCCCGTCCCCCCCTTCTTTCTCCCTTTGTGTAATGAACAGCATTTTATTCATATCTCTGGCTTAGAATACAGTTGAAAATGATACAATATACATAGTACCCGTTTGCATCCTTGGGGTCTGTGGGAGGAACAAGTATGCAGTGAATGTTCTTCATCCAAGCAACAGGCAGCTATCCAGATTTTTTTTTTACAAAATTCTGATGAACACACTTTGCCCCTAGCTGTATCTGAAGATATAAAACCATCCTTTCAATAGTTATTTCTTTATTTTTACTATCAGGGTTGAATGTTTTAGATAGTTCTATAGTGGGATTTATTTTGTCAAGGACTTGTTTGTGGCAAGATATCCAGGCTAAAACTAGAAAAGAGATCAGAGGGAAAACTAAGCAGACACTGTGTAGTTCACAAATACGATAGCGAAGTTATGAAGTAGATGTGGCCGCTTGAGTGAAGGTATGTACAGCAGTTTAGGTTTTAGAATTGCTTCATAATGTTGACATAAGTTTGCTACTGAAATATGTGAGAGTGAAATGATTCAAGACGAGACATGCTTGTAGGTATTAATATTCTTAACTCATTACTTGGAAACTGTCTTTTGACTGCAAAGATTTGCATTGCATTGCACATTTATGTGGCTTTTTGCATGATGGATTTCTTTGCTTTCCCATTTCTTTACAGCAGAGAATGAGAACCTTGATGAGATTTTTAGTGAAGTCATCACCTGCAAGAGGATAAGGGGTGGCTTTGTTTGTGTATAATCATCCAATTCATTTTACAGGATATAGAAAATGTAATATTGCATAACTACAGAGTACTATATTTGAGATGTTTCTGTCTGCTCTTTTTTCTTTGTCTCAAAACAGCAGAATGGATGGAAGAACATTAATATTACATACGAATATAAACCAAATACAAGTTTGTTTTAGAGTATAAAGCAGAAGGGAAAATGACTGCTGTGAGTGCAGGCTAGCGAAGGATATTTTTTATAGTACCCTAAAAGAACACGTGAGAACCTATATTTGAATTCACCATGCTACTTCTTTGCCTAAAGAGAAAAACAACTGAACCATGCTATATTTTAAATTTAATTATTATAGTGGGTAATTTTTTAATATTACAATGAAATTTTCAAGTAGTCTTTTGATTTTTTTTTAAAGTATTTGAGGATGTTCTGTGGCCTGAGGTTTTTTTGAGAATTTGTTTAGAAAGAAACTTCAACCCTCACAATAGTAATAGTAATAATAACAAACACCTCTTTAAAAAAAAGTGTCACTACACATTGAAAAACTGATTTTTCCTTACAGTGTGGCACACATAATAAACGTTATATTTCAAATTTTGCTTCTGATGCAGATGCTTGGAGCAAGATAACTTTAACAGCTTCCGTTAGAATGGATATACAGTCCATACACTCTAATTTCTGAGACACAGATCATATAGTAAATAGCTTGTAATTCTGCATGAGTGCTGCATAAACTGAAGCAGAAAACAAGATGACTTGCGCTAGGTAAATAGTCATTAGAGGTTGGGACCTCCAGACCTCTTCAAGGGCAGACCACTTTTGGTACATTTTTCTCTGCTGTACACCTTCCTGTATGTGCTATAAGGAGACCTCAGAAAAGATATACAGCATAAAGGGGTTTTTTTAATCCAGTTATATGTAATACTTGAAATCCATTCCTGCATAACACGGTTTCCAACTCAGTCACAGTGGGGAGTGGATATGTAGCCATAGAGTTAAAGGAGACCTGAAGGTGATCTAAAATAAGACGTGATATGGGCCTTTTATTTAGTATTTCATTATTTAGTATGTCATTAATGTTACCTCCTTTGAATGTTGCTTAGGGAGTAGATCACACCATAAGAAACCGAGCTCCCCTGAGCGAATGCAGGTTTGCTCTTTATTGAGTACAGCCCAGTTTTCACCCACAGACCCGACCCATTGCTGTGACACAGGTAACTGTGTATAGCTGTGGTTAAGTCAGGAACACAGAATGCACCGAAACAATAAACATGCCATTAGCTGAAACTCATCTGTCAAGCTTTAGTGAGCTGATTTTTTTTCTTTTTTGGTTGGACTTTGCAGCTTATGGTTGGGTTTCGAAGAACACGTCTGTTTTCCAAGTCACATCACATCTATCTGCTTCTGACTTAATAAAATGAAGACGAAAATAAAACTATGAAAATGAAACTGTTTGAATAAAGTAATTATTCACATTGCCAATAAGGTGGATACCCAGGGTGTTTTGAGCCCAGCAAAGAAATAATGTTCTAATTCAAGTCAAATTTTAAAAACAAATATTTACACTTTAGAGCTTAGAAACACTGTACCTGAACACTGGTAAGGGTCTCTACGTCGTGGAGTTTAATTGCCTGCTTTCAAATATAATTTAATAATATAAAATGGTGTTTGTGTATTGTCCAAACTCGACTTCAACAGTATTTGGTTATTTTGCCCATACCAACTCTGAGAAACTCTGTCCTGGAACTCCACTGTCTGATGATGCAAATCGTTGTTCATCTGTGGCCAGTACATACATCTAGAGCTAATTTGTTTACATTTCTTCTGGTGCCAGTATTTTGCCAGTTGTCCCTGGTGGTGGTCTCCTCCTGTGCTGATAAGGGGTAGCTACTTTCTCATGGACATCTGGAAAGGGACAGCTGAACAAGCTGAATTTTTTTAATCTCACCAGATAGACCTCCCATTCCTCGAAACATCCTTATAGCAATCCCTTGCAGCTCTTCCATTTTCTACTAACCTTTTTTATTGTGAGTGACTAAAATTGGATACCCTAATCTGGGCACCTGTCTGCTGCAGAATATTTAGATTATCAGTACCTAACTATGCTGCAATGGGGGAGCTGTTGTCACAAAGGTCCTGTCTTCTCCAACAGCACAGAACACCACAAAGGTCACAGACGAGAAGATAGAGGAATTTGATTATATACTGGACCCAAGTTTAACCCCACACGTGTCCTTTATTTGTGCAACAGCCTATGAAAAGTGGACTTGAAAATGTCCATTCGGTTGTCACGTATTTGCTGGGTTCTGGTAGAAATTTCCCTTTTTGCACTGAATGCCTGGGGGTGTTGCTGTTCTCCTTTCCCAACGCAGGTTGGGCTGAGCCCTGAAGCACAGAGCTGTCAAGCAGAATGCAAAATTGTTTTCGCCACAAGCTGATTACGCATTTCAGCAGTAAGGGGATTGGGCCCTAAACAGAAGCCTGTCTTCTTGTAAAATTTAGTTTATAGAAATATGAAATCCTTGTCATAGGTTGGGTTCACTCTGTATCAAAATCACCACAAGGTGGGGACAGATTTCATATAATGAACAGCTAAAGCTAAGTCCCAATTGAACGTGCAGAAGGCAATGAATGATGTGAAGCTTCAAGTAATACATTTGGGCTGGGGGGGAAATAAATCTTTTTATTCCACATCTTTAAACATACAGACAGACTCTCAATATTTCTTGAGAGCATGCAGTCCACGTTCCTTGCGGAAACATCAAGGATAGACTTTAAATTGAAGATTAAAGGCAAATTAAAGTTCTCTGTAACTTTTTTGATGCTGTTTATGGTTTGTGATGTAGGGATCAAATAAGTACCAGTGGTTCCAGGAACCCGTGGTTTTTTGCTATATATGTAGCAGAACAAGCTGCTGATGAAATGGTAAATACTCTTCTTTTTACAATTTTGCCCCCCAATGAGTTTAATATTATATAACAGGAGATATGGTAAGGCATACATTCTTCTTTTTAATCGGATGTTGGGTTTTTTTTTCTTTTTGAAGTAAAACTAATAACCTGAAGCCATACAGGTAAATATGGTATTTACCATGTATGGTACATTTGGTACATTTACCAAATGTAACAGAATTAGTACAACAGAGTGTAGTGGCATCCTGCTGTTCACAGATTGTTACATGTATTCTGCATCAGCTTTGCATATTCTTACGGTGAATTGTTCTTCTGTAAAACTATTGGGATAGCTAAAGATCCCAATCCTCCTGTGTAATTAAGGCAAGCTTAGTGCAAGGCAAGACGTGTGCAAGAAGGTCCTTGTGCACACCCAGTCCTGGGCTATCAGCCACGGGGCTGATCCCTGGTATAAATTAAGAAAGCCTGAGGGCTGCAGTAATTTCCAACAGCTGTTGTTGGCCCCAGGCTCTCTTCCAGGATCTGAGGCTCACCAGAAAATAGCAGGGGCCCAGCCACAATTCCTGCCTTGGTCGCGAGGGAGGAATCAGCTCTGCAGCCACCCACCAAAGCTGCTCCATGTGCATAGTGCTACCTGGAGCTGGGGAATAAGCCATAACCTCACCTGTCCCAAAAAATGCTCTGAGGCAACCCTTACCAGTTAATGTCTTCTTGCCTAGTAACTGGGTGCAGCAGAGGTGCTTGAAATCTTCTGTGAAGGTGAACTGAGCTCATTTAGCACTGTGGGGTTTTCATATCAGGCTGAGGAGCACATGAAAAACTCTGGGCAGATGGAATTATACAGCATCTATCGAAGGTGGAGGTGATTGGCCTGCCATGGTACAGTTGTTAATAGTGTTAAGCAAGTAAAAGCTGTTACACTTCTGTCATGTTACTTTTATTCAGATTTTTTATTTTTAAACTAGAACTTCTTACGTGCTGTTTAGAGAAGTAGATTTTGCTATGTTTGCATTCTCTTTTTGTTAAAGAAAAAACAGCTTTCCTTTCAGGATGCTCAAAATCCTCCCTTTCCTATGTGTATTACTGGCCTTCAGACTTCCAGGTGGGTAGTCTTATCCATACTAGGGCCTTAGGGCTGAGACTGTAAAAATTAAAATGATGCATAACTTCAAACTCTGTGCTGAAAGGGCAAATGTCTTCAGTGTCCTCACCTACTATATTAATCGGACAGAGCGGTCCCAAGGCATGACTGTGGAGTCATGTGGGTATGTAACACATCAAGCACTCTTTTTTTGCCATTCCATGAACTATATTTGCATTGCCTGTTTCATAGGCTTTCTTGTAGTGCTGAATTTGATATACTATAAGCAGGCTTACGCTTAATTCACTGGCAGTCCCAAGACTGAATGGCAAGACAAGATAGATACACTGAGAAAAAATATGTCATCTGCTGAAATAGCTATCTACCACATATTTGATTGCCATTACCACTTCATTTCTCTGGTGCTCCAGAGTAATAGTGTTTAGATTCTCAGATATGTCTTGGAAATCTGAGCTTCATACAGAAGAGCTTAACCCTTTCGTGCGTTGGTCTGTTTTGCTTAATAAGGCTAGATGACTTTTTTGAAAATCATGGTTGCCAATTAGCATAGTTTGATTATTGCAGAAGGAGTCGTCTTCTCATTCATTCTGAAGATTCGCTGAAGTTCCTGAACGATGTAAATGTAGTGAAGGTACCAGAGCCACGTAAACAAGCCTTCTGTACCTACCTGAGCTTCAGGCCCAAAACAACTATTGTTGCTGTACCCATGTAGATGGTATATCACTGTAACTTTCAGGTACTGACACTGGTGAAACTGTTGATACATATTTTTTCCCACCTATGAAAGTGCACTGGGATAAGTTCCTGAAGTCAGCTACTAAAGGTTCTTAACTGTACTTAAAAACAAGAAAGTATAGTGACCAACCATTTTTTGCTTTTATGAATATTGATTGTATCCATTTAATTTCAGTATTACTCAGTCCTCCTCCTCCCGCCCAAAACCTCAGCTTTCTAGCACAAATTTTGCTTTCACTAGACATCAAAACCATCTTTCTCTGGTTTTGTTTTTTTTTCCAATATTGTAGCATTCTGTTTTCTTCCATGTCTCAGTGTTTTATTATTAACAAGTGATTGGAAGAATTTCTGTATGACTTATTAAAGATAAAATCTTTAAATTGGAAGGTTTAATTTGTATAATGAAATAGTTACAAGGAAGGTGTTTCCAAGGCTCTCTTGAGCTCATAGAAGTATTGCACAACACTGTGATGGTGGGGGAAAAAAAAAGGCATTTTCAATTAGCATCCTTCATGTTCCATGCACGTGTAAATTATTTTTATTATAAATCACATGTAACTGTTTTAAATGCCAGAGGAGTATGGTATCACCTTCAAGCAGGAGATGGGAGAATAATTGTACCGTTATGGTTCTTTCTGTTTTTTAAGCAGATTCACCAAAAGGCCCTCACCCATCTGCAGGCATGAATGGAAATGTGCAGCATCCCACCAGCACCGGGCAGCAGCAGGTCTCTGCCATACCCTCTCCAAGTGCCAGCAAGCCTTGGCGCAGCAAATCCATGAATGTCAAACACAGCGCGACCTCTACCATGCTGTCCGTGAAACAGCCTAGTCCTGCAACCTCCCCTACTCCATCTTCAGACAGGCTCAAGCCACCCCCTTCTGAAGGCGTGAAGCCTCCTTCATCTGGACAAAAATCTATGCTGGAAAAATTCAAGCTGGTTAATGCTAGGACTGCTCTGAGACCTCCTTTGTCACTGAGCTCAGGACCCAGTGACAGTGGGAGAGAGGATGATACCTTTTCAGAGTGTGGTGAAATGGATGTCTTAAGCGGTGGGGTGAACAGCGGCGGCTCCACAAGTAGCAGTCCTAAAGTATCACCGAAGTTAACCCCTCCGAAAGCTGGAAGCAAAAATCTCAGCAATAAAAAGTCTTTGCTACAGCCAAAGGACAAAGAGGAAAAGAACAGGGACAAAAACAAAGTTTGCACTGAGAAAACAGTCAAGGAGGAGAAGGACCAGGTCACTGAAACATCTACAAAGAAGAGCTCAAAAATTGCAAGCTTAATCCCAAAGGGAAGCAAGACGACAGCAGCCAAGAAGGAAAGTTTAATACCGTCTTCTAGCGGGATCCCGAAACCTGGATCGAAGGTGCCAACAGCAAAGCAGAGCGCTTCTTCCGCATGCACGGGAAGTAAGGAGGCTGAAAAACTGAGGACTACAAAAGGAAACCAGTCCCAATCAACATCAAAATCTCAGCTTAGCGAGAAGGCTTCTCCTTCCTCTGGTCTTGCTTCTTCTGAAGGGAAAGAACCAAGTGCAGCTCTTACCCCAGGGTCCTCTGCGGCTCTGTCGGCCTCGATGGCTGCAAGCAGCGGCCAAGGCACGGGAAATGGTGTCGTCCAGCTTCCTCAGCAACAGCAATACAGCCACCCCAACACTGCCACAGTAGCTCCTTTCATTTATAGGTAAGGTCACGGAGGGAAACTGGGTTTGTGTTACCATTTAGGAAAGAGAGCTAAAACGGATAGAGCAATGGTGGATCACACTGTTATGTTTCTTATCTTCCAGTTTCTGTCACAGCATCACGCACATGTTTTCCTAATATTATTTTTTAATTAATATTACTGTATGAATAATTTCTTCCAAGAACTCTGAGTCTCTACCTTGTACAAAAGCAATCCACTGCAAATATTTGCCATTTAAAATTCAGGATGTTTTGATTAGAAATACAAATCACATGATACATTCCCTGTGCTGCTTTTGAAAGGTCACGGCTGAGTCAGGTTTCTAGTGCGAATATTGTTGTTTGCAATTTAAGAACCTCAACATTTATTTGCTGATATTCAATAATATTTGCTTAAAATACACTGTTCTCTTAAAAAATCCTAAAATAAACTGCTGACGTTTTCAGAGTATGTAACAGTACTAGTAGGGTATTAGAGGAAAAACCATATACAACATTTTGGGCAGAGACAAAAGGTTGCTGTTTGCGGGCCCTTTTCCTGTTTAGTTTTATACGCGAACTAGGTATAGATTAACTCCACGGAGGCAGTTAAGTTTTACAGGTGATACAAACTCTTCTGATGGCCAAGGCTCTGGAATAGAGGAATGAACAGTTAAATGTATCAACCTTTGTCTGAATTTATTTTGTATATGATAGAGCAACTGGAGAGAAGCTGAGAGATTTCGTCATTGTACAGCTCAGAAGACAGAGTAAGTGTAGAAAGACTGGCAGGCTGGTTTGAGTAATGATTTCAGATGTCAGCTGTTGGAGGGCTTTAGCTTCAGTTGTGGGTAAATTTAACATCTGATAAAATGACAAATACATTATTAAGCAAAATATACTGGCAGGTTTTGTTAGTGAGTATTACTGTAGATAATCTTGGCTAAAGATTAAAGAGGTGCTGAAGTAGGCTCTGAGGGAGTATATATATCATTACACACAACTAAACATAGCTTCAAAACCAATCTGCATGAGTGATAAACTATTTAAGTTAATTCTGAACAAAAGCAGTTCAGAAAATCATATGGGAGAGGAAAAAGGCGTAATATAGGTTACATTTATTCTAATATGCAGTGGGTAGCCTCTTGAGTTTCAATTAAATGTATCACTAAATGTGCTTAATATGCATGTTTCTTTATAACTATATGGAATAACCTCAGTGATACAGACGATTTGCAGCATGGTACTTAGGATGGCCTACATATGTGTTAGGGTGCATATACAAAGAGAGGGAAAAACAAGCTATGCTTTGCCTTCAGATGCATGTGCTATCTAATGGCAATTTTACCACATATTGATGCCATTTCATTGCATGATAGAGATATCTTATCATTCTTTTAAGCTTCATCATGAAGCAAACTGTATTTTGAATTTTAAAGGGCGATAGAAACATGCATCTTCCAGTAAAATTTGGTATTAATAATCATCTGTTTGCTTCAAACAAACAGCAAAGGAGACTGTATTTGAAGTTAAATCTCGCATGAAAATAAAATTCTCAGAGCCAAGGTCTGATCTCAGAATGCCATAAACCCAGAGTAATAGACCGACTTTGATGAGGTTACTTCAATGTGTATCTCTGTAACTGAGAGCAGAATCTGACCCAAAAATACACAGTAACTACATTTCTTACAATTCTCAAGGGCTTTGTAATAGTACACAATGATTTCATAGAAGAATATAAATATAACCAAGGATAAAATATCCACATTTCCAAAGTCAGCATATTTATTTTTGTGGACATATGGCAAGTAGAAATGTGCATGAAGCTGGGGTACTGTATTTACACTTTCTTGCTCTTAAACATAACTGTTTTCTGAGCAGTCACCACAATTTATACGCAGAATTTTCAGGTGCGCTTGTTAGCTGCTAGGACAGCTGTATAGATCAATGAGTTAATAAACAATAGTTACCATTCAGACTAAGTTTTTTACAGCTAGAAGGAATATCTAGGCTCTGTACATTTGTGCTGCAGTTCTTGTAAAAAGTTGCAATATAATTTAGTAATGTTACAGTGCATTTTATCCAGAATCCTGCAGAATACTGCAATGTACTGCAATATACTACTGTGATGAGTTTAGGCTGTTAACACAAGGATAAGTAAGCTACTGCTTTTTCTGGTTTGTTGCTGATACCTGCAGATATCATGTATTTTGCAATGTTTGATTATTACCCAAAAGGATATTACTGTAGATTTTTGAGTAAAAGCAAGTATTCCAAAGAGTTGTTTTGAGGCTGGCATGTATTTTGCAATGCTGTAACAGTTATCAACACTCATGTTTTCAAGGAGTTGTGTATTTTTATTAATGGACAGTAGATAGAAAATACTGTTTCACTAGGAGGTTCTGAAATGATACATCACACTATCCAGCTTTGCACTCTTGGTGCTTTGTTCTATCTGATATCACATTGTATTTCTATGCCTCTTAAACACCATGGCATGGAAATTCATACAGGATTATTACTTCTCTTCAAAGATTAGCAGCAACAGTCAGAGTTGCATTTGAGATAATCTCAATGGGTATAACTTAAATTCTTCCATCCTCCTCAGCAAGTGATTATTTATTTTCAAATGCGATTGTGAATGTGTTATTTACAGCCTGTGTCCCCTCTGAAGTTGACTGCAGGGTCCAACTGATATAAGAAAGGCTGAAGTAGATGTAATTTAGTTGCCAGAAAGCTTGATAAGAGAGATACAGCAAGTAAAACAACTAAGAGGAAGGTGGCAGAGACTGTATAATTGTTTAAAGTATACCAGCCACTACTTTAAATTACACATTCCTGTCGTGGTTTAACCCCAGCTGGCAACTGAGCACCACACAGCTGCTCGCTCACTCCCCCCACAGTGGGATGGGGGAAAGAATTGGAAGAGTAAAAATGAGAAAACTCATTAGTTGAGATAAAGACAGCTTAATAGGTAAAGCAAAAGCCATGCATGCCAGCAAAGCAAAACAAGGAATTCATTCACTACTTCCCATCGGCAGGCAGGTGTTCAGCCATCTCCAGGAAAGCAGGGCTCCATCATGTGTAATGGTTACTTGGGAAGACAAAATGCCATAACTCCGAACATCCCCCCTTCCTTCTTCTTCCCTCAGCTTTATATGCTGAGCATGACACCATATGGCATGGAATATCCCTTTGGTCAGTTGGGGTCAGCTGTCCCGGCTGTGTCCCCTCCCAACTTCTTGTGCACCCCCAGCCTGCTCGCTGGTGGGGTGGGGTGAGAAGCAGAAAAGGCCTTGACTCTGTGTAAGCGCTGCTCAGCAATAACTAAAACATTCCTGTGTTATCAACACTGTTTTCAGCACAAATCCAAAACGTAGCCCCATACTAGATACTATGAAGAAAATTAACTCTACCCCAGCCAAAGCCAGACATTCTGTCTTCTACATAGACAGAATTGGAGGGAGATGGAAATTGTGCCATCTGCCGGAGTCCCTTAGACTCGTATTGAAAGTGGCCATAGAATTTAGTTATCTTCCTAGTGGTGCTTAAATTTCAGATGGAGAAGTTCAGTGCCTACTGGGTTACAGTGAAAACAGGAAAAAGAGGCATTAATAAAAAAAAAAAAAAGTCTGAATCTTTCTCCTAAAATCTTAGCAACAGAATAACAGCTTAATTGCTCAGTATTTGGAGTTCTTAGCTTTCCTACGCATTGCTCAAAAGTGTAATATAACCTGTAATTCCAAACATTTTCTTGCACAGAGTCTGTTGTATGCAATCATTGCTTTAGTTTTTGTGAGCCAAATTGTGTAAGTTTGCGTTATTTCCATAAAATGGGAAACATAACTAATAGTCCCAGGAGTAACACAAATATCACCTCACTCCATGGGGCAAATCCTTAGCTGATGTAAATCATGATAACCCTACATGCAGTATGCGATGTGTTGGCAATTAACATTTGCTGTGGATTTGCTCAAACACTAAAGGAATATGTCAATAGGCGAACGTTGAGTTGTAACTGGACGCATGTACTGCAGTTTAGTTTTATTTTATTGACTCCTCCAGTAACCGCTGTAGGAGCTTAGTGGGTCTCTTTTCCATGGCTGGAATATAGAATCTGAAGTGCCCAAATCCCAGGGGCTGTGGTGCTCAGGAATTGCTTATTGCCTGAAATGCTGAAAGTATAGAAACTGCTGCAGAGAATTAGCTGACCGCTCATCATCCTGAGCTGCACTTCTATGTTGTGCATCGCTTAAATTTCAGTCCTTCAGCTAAGTTTGTAGTTGAATGATAGTGACATCTGGAAGAAGTTTCAGCACTGTCTGAATTGAGACCTTGCAGAGATACTCTTTCAGTGTCAATGCTGGACTACAAAAACCAGTTTGGCACTCATTTTGTCCCTGAAGAATAAGAAACTGGTAATTTTAGCTACCCAGTAGATTGGTATAGAGAAGATGGAGCCAGACTCTTCTCTGGAATGCAGGGTGATAGGATGAGAGGTAAAAGATGCAAATTACAGCAGGGGAGATGCTGATTAAAAGTTAGAAAAAATATTTTTACCTTGAGGGTGGTAAAACACTGGAGCAGGCTGCCCAGAGAGGTTGTAGAAGCTCTGTCCTGGGACCTGTTCAAGACTCAACCAAATGAGGCCCTGAGCAACTTAATGTAACCAGACCTGCTTTGAGCAGGTCATTGGACCAGATGGCATTTAGAACATCTTTCTGATCTAAATTACTTTATGATTCTGTGAGGACTAAAGTGTTCACTAGATAGAGGCAGAGAAAGGAAATATCAGTATAATAACTAAACATGTTACCAGGTACTAAAATCTTCTTCCTATCTCCTTTCCTATGTGGTGATTGAAACAGTTCTATTACTAGAGCATAGCTTCAAGGGTGCATGGGAAGTGCAGAGCTGTGACAGATGGGAAGGAGGATCTAATCTGGTTGCACCTCTGGAGGCACAGTGAAATTCAATTCCAGCTGCCTGTTCAGGATGTTTTTATACTGGCTTAGGGAAAAA